ACACAGGCTAGCCCCTCCCATCTCCCTCGGGCCCTTGGCCTTTTGCCCTCCTCCCAGGGAAGAACCCTGTCTCAAATTTCACTAGACAGGAACTCCCTCTTCCGCCCTCCCTCCCTTCTCCAGCCCCACCTGCTTTCGTACCTCCTGCCCCCTTCCCTCCTGCCCCTCTTCCCCCCAGCCCAGACATCTCTGGCAGAAATTGCCCCTTCTCCTCCCCCCACTGCTGCCTTCATTTCCCTCTTCTGCCTCCTCCTGGCCCAAGTCCCTCTGCGGCTCTCCCCGCTCTCCCTTCATTGCCACTCTTCCAGAAAGACCAGTCCGCTCTTCCCTCTGCAGTTGGCCTCCATCCTACTACTTCTCCTTGCTGCCGTTGCCAAGGTCACCAATAGGGTCTTTGTTGCCAAATCCAAGCAGACACTTAGCCCGTGGCCTGTCCAAATCTGACACTGTTGCCCAGGCCCTCTGTGTTGAAAAATTTCCTTCCTTGGCCAGGAGCGGTGGCTCATGCCTGTAATCCTAGCACTCTGAGAGGCCAAGGCGAGAGGATTGCTAGAGGTCAAGAGTTCGAAACCAGCCTGAGCAAGAGCAAGACCCCCTTCTGTACTATAAATAGAAAGAAATTAATTGGCCAACTAATATACATAGAAAAAATTAGCTGGGCATGGTGGCACATGCCTGTAGTCCCAGCTACTCTGGAGGCTGAGGCAGGAGGATTGCTTGAGCCCAGGAGTTTGAGGTTGCTGTGAGCTAGGCTGACACCATGGCACTCACTCTAGCGAGACTCTGTCTCAAAAAAAAAAAAAAAGAAAGAAAGAAAGAAAAAGAAAAATTTCCTTCTAGCAGCTCCTGGGACCCACTCTCTCCTGATTTTCCAGCCTGGGTGGTGTGCAGGGAAAAGACAGGCTTCAACTGCAGCTCAGCTCACTGTGTGTCCCTGGGCGAGTTGCTTAACTCTCCAAGCCTCCTCTGTGGGTCAGGGATAATAATAACCTTTACTAGCGTTGGGGTAAGATATGATATGGAAAGTGCCTAGCACAGAGCCTGGCATGCAGTAGTGCTCTGCCCATCAAGCTATCTACCCTTTCATTGGTGGAGCCAGGTAGTTGTCCTTGGATGTGTTTTCTCCCTATGGCAGTACAACCCTTGGTTCTTGGCTGGACATGTGCCTGTCTAGAATGGAAGTTGCATTTCCCAGCCTCCACTTGCAGCTGGGTCTTGTCATGTGACTAAGTTCCAGCTAATGAAATGCATGTGGAAGTGTCATGTGACAATTTCTGGGGACTTTCCTTAAAAGAGAGTTGGTGCAGATCCTTTGCCTTCTTCTTCATCCTTTTCTCCATCCCACTGCCCATCATATATATGTGATGGCTGGAGCTCTAGCTGCTATTCTGAAAGAGGTCAAGAGCCACACCCAGAGGTTGCTTGAATTATTCATTCAACAAACATCCATTGAGCACCTGTGCCATGTGTTAGGCTGTGTGCTGGATGAATCAGGTACAGTCCCTGCCTCCAAGCAGCTCCCAGTCCAGATGAGGAGGAACAGGAAAGTAAACAGATGGTGGGTACAAGGAAGTCCCTAGGAGGGGTTGCTAAGCCATGCTGGGCAGTGGAAGTCATGGGGAGTGTGTTCTGGAAGAACATGCATTGAATTGAGCCACGAAAGACAAGAATTTAGATAGGCAGGTGGTTAGGAATAAGGTTCTAGAGGGCTTGATTGGACCTATTCTCAGGGCAGTAGTAAGCCATGGAAGATTCCCCAGCAGGAGTTGACTAGTTAGACCTGTGTTTCTGAGAGATTGTTCTGGCTGCCAGGTGGAGAAAGGCTAGTGGGAGGTGAAACTGGATGGGGTGGGAGGCTGGTGAAGAGGCTGCTGCAGCAATCAGATGCAAGCTGGCGGTGGCCTGAGCTCAAGGGAGGGGCGGAGAGGTGGAGAGGCGTGGACAGATTCCAGGGATATTTAACAGGCAGCATAGCAGGAACTGGAGATTGATTGGACGGGGCAGGAAATGGGTAGGTTGCAGGTGACTCCCAGGTTTCTGGCTCCAGTTTGAGACAGGGACACAGGAGGCCAGGTGTGACATGGGAGAGACATGGGGCTCTGTCTAGGGCAAGTGGTGGTGAGACGTGCCAGAGAAGTCACAAGTGGAGAAGTTGGCATAACTGAACCATGAGCTGGTGAGCTCGCCAGGGGAGAGGTGGAGGCAGAGCCTCCAGGAACAGCCACGGTGGAGGTCACCACGTCCTGTTGAGTTCCCTCCATTCCCTCTGCCCCAGCTAGGCCATTCCTGGTGCTGCTCACAGAGCCCTTCCCCAAACATGCATCCCACTCGGACCCCAGCCTGAATGCTAAACTACCTCCCCGCCTCCCTAGCCCCCAGCCAGGAGAAGGCTAAACAACTGGGCCTGCCATTCGGCCTTGCTCCCATCCTTGCCTCATCATCTGTCGCCCACCTCACCCTGCCACTCCCTAGCTCGCACCGCGCCTCAGCCCCGCAGGGAGGGGGCGCTCTTGCCCCTGCAGGCCGGGATGGGGGACAAAGGGTTTGCGGGAAGCACCCGTACTCTTCGGGCTCAGCTGAGGGGCTCACGCCGCGGCCTGGAGGGATTTTGGGGGACCGCAGGCGTCAGGAGTCCGGGCGCCGGGGGCGTGGCGAGGTCCGGCCCAGCCGCAGGGGGAGGGCCCCTCCCGTGCCCGCTCCCGCCGCGGCCCCTCCCCTCCGGAGCGGGCGGGAGTCCCGGGCGCTGATTGGGCGGCGCCGGGGAGGCCGCGTGGCCGGACCAATGGGCGCGGGCCGGGCGCGGCGGCGGGCGGGGGCGCGAGCGCTGCCTGGGGCCGCGGCGCCGGCGGTCTAAGCTCTGGGATCTGGGCTCCGGCAGGGCGGCGGGCCGGCGGGCCGGCGGGGCGCGCGCCGCGGGAGCGAGCCTGGCTGCCCGCCCGGCGGCGGAGACTGTCGCCTGGCGCTCAGGTAGGGGTCTGCGGGGAGGGGTTTGGGGCGGGGAGCGGGGGGACCAGTGTCTGAACATCTGCCCCGAACCTGCAGATGCGAGGCCGCATCTACGAGGGCAGCCGGGACCGTGTCTGCGCCGGGATCCTTCCCCTTCTGTCTATGGGGCCAGGTCTGCGGGGTGCCTCTCAGAGCCAGCTTCCGTCTGCGCCGGCAGCTGGGACCGCGTTTATGCGGGCGCCCCGCCATCTGCGTCCCTTCCCCAGCTCTTGTCTGCAGGACTGCAGCCGTACCGGGCGCACTCTCCACCCCGCCCCAGCTCTTGGCGGAGGTCGTGTCTATGCGGAGTGGGCCCGAACCGGTGCACCCACGTGTGGCTCTCCGCGGAGTGCTCCTCCCACGGCCCTCCCGAGAGTCTTCCTTCAAGAGCTGGGGGCGGGGGGTGGGTGATGAATGGGACGGATGCGGCGTGTGGCTTTAGCTGCGCAGTCTTCCCCTGACTGGGGGCGGCGGAGGCGGGCGCTGCGGCTTCTGGGGCGGGGTAGGCGCAGGACTGGTGGCTCGGAGAGTGCACACGTGCGCCGGGACCTGTGTGTGGTGTTTGGGGGCGGGTGTGCGCGTGTCACGTGGACACAGGAGTGTGCCTGTGTGTGCGAGGGGGTGCGTTACAGGATGGAGTGGTGTGTGAGGGCGGGTCACGCGGACATGGGCGTGCGCCTGTCAGGGAGGGGTGTGTGCTCTTGTCTTGAGGGTGTTACAGAGATGACACAGGTCACAGGACCGAGCTTTGGTGGGTGCCCACAGGGCTGTGGTCTGCCAAGCGGGCACAGGACAGGGAGAAGCCTACGGCTCCTGTCCTTGACAATCCCAGGGAAGAGGCACTGGCCTCCCCAAGGCCTGCCCTCCTTCATCCAGTACATGCAGATTGAGCACCCAGTGTGTGCCAACCTGTGCCCGAGGCCCACACACCCTGGGACCCTCTGCCTTCTCCTGGGTCTCCTGCCCTCAGTCCCCACAGCAGCCAGAAAAGTTGTTCTAAACCTCATCCAACTGAGTCACTCCCCTGCTCAAACCCTCCTCTGCCTTTGGAGGCTTCCTGGTCTCTGTCCATGGAGTCTCCCCCACCCCCAAGCCCTGAGTCCCAGCTAGTAAACCGTTCTCTGTTATGCACAGTGTGAACTTCCATCCTCTTGCAATGGTCCTGCTCAGTGGTCAAAAAGGAGCTTAAATGCCACCTCCTCCAGGAAGCCAGCCCTGAAGCCAGCACAGGGACTGACTAGGTGGGCCTTCTCTCCCTCCAAGGATGGTAACTCCTCGTGCCACTTGGGTGCCTCTCCACTCTAGCCACATCAGCCTCCTTGTGCATCTCCAACAGAGCAAGCACTGTGCCATCTCATGGTGTTTGTGCAGCTGGTCCCGCTACCTAAAGTGCTTTTCCCCAGATGTCTACACTGCCTGCTCCCTTACTTCCTTCAGATGTCTGCCCACATTCTACCTCTGAAAGGCCTTCCCGAACCACACTGAGTCAGTAGCATCCCCCAGCCGCTTACTGTTGATCCCGCTTACAGGGCTGTATTTTTTTTCACAGCACACACCACTTAACATACTGCATATTAATTGCTGGATTTCTTGTTCATTGCTTCTTGCATCCACTAGAAATGAAAGTGTACGAGAGCAGGGACTTTGTCTTTTTGGTTTACTTCTCTATCTCCCGGCACCTAGCACGATGCCTGGCACGTGCTTGATGAATATTTATTGCATGAATGAGTGACTGTGGATTTGCATCCGAGGAGTCTGTGTCCCTGGCTGCTCTCCAGCCTGCGAGCCCCCAGTCTGAGGCTAGGTCTCTTGCTCCTCTGTCCCCCAGATTCCAAGTTCCTGGAAAGCCAGGTCTAAGAGAACTATGGCCATATTTGCATGTTAGAAATCCTCCCTCTAGCAACTGGTGTGGAGGATGGGGTAGGGAGGGGAGGGGGTGTGAGCCTGGGGGCAGTGGGAAAGGAAAGAGGAGGTCAGAATCTAGACTTTTTAAGGGGCTCAACCTGGTGGGCTCACCCAGCCAGCAGTGGGGAGATCAGGGAGGGCCCTCAGAGGGGGCTGTGTCTGAGCTGTCCTCCAGGCAGCAAAGGAGAGGGAGGTGTGTTCCTGGCAGAAGGCACAGCTTGTACAAAGGCCTGGCAGCAGAACAGAGTCTGCAGTTTGGGAAGCTGTGAATAGTGTGGTGTGTCTGGAGTGGAGAGTAAGTGGCGTGGGGGGAGCAGGGATGTGCGAGAAGGAGAGGGTAAGTGCTAAGGAGGGCGCCCAGATCTGGGGCCTGGGTCCGGCAAGAGCTGGAGGGTGCGGTACCCGTGTCTGTGATGGGGACAGAGGAGGAAGAGCAGAGCTGGGGGAAGATGCTGAGTTGAACTGGGGTCCCGTTGGATCTGAGATGCTCAGGAGCAGGGAGGGGCAGGAGGCAGCTCACTGCAAGAGTTGGCCTGGAGGCACAGACCTGATGTGGAGGATGAGGAGGAACAGAGGGAGAGGATGAAGCCGGAGACCATCGGCCTGCAGGGGTGGGCCGAGAGGATGCGCTGAGGGTAGCTGTGCTGAGTCAGGCACAGAGCCCACCTTGGTGCTCGGGGGCTCCCCAGGGATGGTGGGAGGGGGCGTCCTCGCAGCAGGCGTCCTCAAGCATGACTTGGCACCAGACGCCTGGGCCTCCCTCACGGGGACTGAGTCATCCTAGGCAGGGGCGGGAGCTGCGGAGGGCACCGTTGCCAGGGACATCCAGACACTTGTCAGGAGCATAAACACAGCTCCAGTGAGGCGGACTAGGGATGTCCGGACCAGCTTCTGTGTTTGGCCTGGGTGGCCACCACCTCCTGTGGCTTTCCCTTCTGGACCGTCTCCTGGTCAGGGCCACTCATCCTATCTGCCTGGCCAGTAGCTGGTCCCCTGCCTCGCCTGGCGCTGGGGTCCACAGCAGCCTTCCAGAACTCAGATTGAGGCTTGACAGGTGCTAAAGTCTTCCCAGGCGGGGACGCTTGAACCGGCGTGGAAGACAGCAGGGTGACCTGATCTGTCCTGCTGGGCCTCCAGTGAGGGACGCAGGTGGATGGGGCATGTGCTGAGGAGGAGGAGACCAGGCCAAGTGGGCATCCAGAGCCAGGGCCCTGCATCCCTGGGAGTGGCCGGACACTCAGGGTGGGGCACAACCTGACTGGAGTGGATGTGCCAGGTCATCCTGGAGCCAAAGGGCAGATACAGGGATGTACTTTGTACATCAAGTCTCTGTCTTTTTTTTTTTTTTTTTTTTTTGAGACAGAGTCTCACTTTGTTGCCCAGGCTAGAGTGAGTGCCGTGGCGTCAGCTCCTGGGCTCAAGCAATCCTCCTGCCTCAGCCTCCCGAGTAGCTGGGACTACAGGCATGCACCACCATGCCTGGCTAATTTTTTCTCTATATATTATTTGGCCAATTAATTTCTTTCTATTTATAGTAGAGATGGGGTCTTGCTCTTGCTCAGGCTGGTTTTGAACTCCTGACCTTGAGCAATCCTCCCGCCTCAGCCTCCCAGAGTGCTGGAATTACAGGCGTGAACCACCACGCCCAGCCCAAGGCTCTGTCTCGGCGGCTTTTAGACGCAGACACATCCCAGCCCCACAATGCTCTGGCACAAACCGCTTCTGTATCCACAGCCTCATTCACTTCTCACCATAGCGCTGAGTCGGCAGGATGGTGCGATTCACATCTGTGGGATTTACACATGAGGAAACTGAGGCTCCAGGAGGCTCAATGACTTGTGCAAGGCAGTGAAGCACCGGCTGGGAGGATGGTGTTGGAGTAGCATTTTCCAGTGAGGGAGGCCTGAGTCTGGCCATTCTTGGCCACAGGACTAGGCCAGTCCCTGGGAAGCTCCCCATGCCCCTAGAAGTCCTTGCTGTGCTCTGGGCGCAGGTTGCAGCCTGTCTGTCCATCTTTCTGTTTGCCCACGTGGCCCCTGGTTACCCACTGAGTCAGTTCATATAAAGGGTCTACTGAGGTCTCAGCTTGGGAAGGGTCTTGAAAGACCCTTTGGGGACATACAGTCCAGCCCAACAGGCAGCCCCAGGCATCTGGGATCAAGCTCCCGTGGGCCCCCCAGGGGTGCAGGCCCGCACCCCCATCCTGGGGCCCATGTGCGTGCAGCTTCCAAGCGCACAGAGCGCACTTGTACACACACACCGACCACACAGAGACTTCTGTGTTCACGCAGATGCGCTCCCGTGTGCGGGCCCACAACACACACAGACACACGCCGTCTCCCCGGCCCGCAGCTCAGCCCACACACACTGCCTCACGCGCGGACGCATGCCCTCACACGCAGGGCTTCGGGCGCCAGGCCCTGTGGCCCGGACGCGGCAGGAACCTCGGGCCTCCCTGGGCCGCCTCCCTCACAGACGCGCTTAGTCACCTGAATTTGATCCAGGCGGGAGGGAGGGATGGAGGGCCTGACGTCAGCTCTCACAGCCGCCTTCCGCCGCCCGCGCATCCATCTGGGCCACAGCGTGTCCCGGCAATCACAACAGCAGCACAACAACAACTCCCTTTCTCGGAGCTTCCCTCGCGGGGCGGGTCCTGCGCTGCGTCCCTCATGGGCATCCACTCCTTCCCCCCTCAAACGCTCCAGGAGGGCTGCTGGCCCCATTTTGCAGATGAGGAAAACCCAAGGCACAGAGGCAGAGCCACCTGCCCAGGGACTCACAGCCAGGAAGGGGCGCAGCCTGGCCACCGAGACTCAGAGCCTGGGCGGGCGCTAAGCCAGGTAGCAGGGCCCCTGGCTGGAGCAGGAAGCCGCCCGCCTGCTCTCTGTGATCCCAGGCCCAGCCGCCCCTGCTGGGCCTCACTTTCCCCATCTGAGAAAGGAGGGAAGGGAGCTAGAGACAGAAGGAGGATGGTGGCCTCTTGCTGGGATAGCAACCTCAGGGAAATCATACGCAAATTTTATGGGCCCCCGGCAGCCTGCGGCTTCTGCCTGTGGGGGCTCTAAGTCCCTTGGCCCCTGCCAGGGAGCAAAGAGTGAGAACTCCTGACTGGTTCATTCCCTGATGTGGACTGGGGCCTGGGGATTGTTGGGGTCCCCTCTCTGACGCTGCTCTCTCATCCGTCTAGTGGGGACAGGGCTGTAATGATAACTATGGCAACCACTCATTTATTCTACAAATATTTATCGAGCTCCTATTATGTGCCAGGCACTGCAGAAGACACTGATGATTCGGAGACAAGGCAGACAAGAGCCCTAAACTCATGGAGCTTATATTCCGGTGGGAGAAACAAGGCCTACCGAGTGAGGGGAGGGGCCGAGGGGTGGGCCACCTCCTGGGAAGGGCCTGGCCGGGCTCTGAGGGCTCCTGTCAGCCTTGGCTTCCTCCTTCCTGCAAGTAGTCTGGTTTCCAAAGCCTCCCTGAAGCTCCAACCCCACACACTGACCCCTCTCACCTTCTCCAGGGAGGCCTCCCTGATATTCCAGCCTCACCAATCCCCCTCAGTCCTCTAGGCCCCGTGCCTGTTCCTGCTGCCAGTCTGGATCCCCTTCTCTCTTCCTTTCCACATGTCAGCGTCAGCCTCTGGGCTTCCGCTCTCTCAGCGTACTGTGTGCCAGGCACAGGGGGTCTGGACAACACCTGTACCCACAATCTACTCCCAAACTTTGCTGTGGGTCTGGGAAATCTGGGAGGATGTGGCATCCACAACACAGATGGGGAGACTGAGTCTCAGAGCCTGGAAGGAGCTTGCCTAGGGTAGACTGGTGGGCAGGACTGGAAACCCGCCCAGGCTCCTCCGTGGCCAGTGGACTCCAGCCAGCCCTGCCTCTTTGACATCTGTCAAAGCAAGGGCATGTGGGAGTGCGGGGTAAGACAGGCACGACGCTCCATGAGACCCGTGTTCTCTAAGTCACCGTGTGGGTATAGAGGAAGTTACTGCCATTCAGGAAGGACAGAGGGTCAGGAGTCCACTCACTTCCTTTTCCTGAGAAATGCCTGAGTCTGGCCCAGGAAAGGGGAAGAGGACATCAGGCTGGGGTGGGGCCAGTACGCAGCGTGGGGCAGAGGTGGGGTCCCAGTCTGAGTGTCAGGGTTGGGGGGGTGGTTGGGGTGTAGCCCAGGGTCATGGCTGAAGGTGACAGCGGGGGCTGAGGCTGGAGGTTGATTTGGGGCTCAGACTGCAGTAGGTCAAGGGTAGGCGTGAGGCCAGGCCAGGGGCAGTATCTCAGCCTGAGCAAATGCAGCAAACCTTGTGGCCACATGAACAAACTGGAAGGAAAAACAAGGAGAGAAAAGGCATGACCTTTTAGTGCAATAAAGTCTTGCTTGACAGCCTCCAAGGCAGCAGTCCCCTCTAAATGACCCTGTCCTGGGCTGGAAGCTCTGCTGGGGAAGGGAAGGGAGTAATGGGAGACTTGCTCTTTGGCCCTGGACATGGCAAGAGGAGTGGGAGCGCTGGAGCCCCCGGGGAAGTCTTCCTGGAAACAGGGAGAGGGATGGGGTAGGGGGCTGAAGTATCAGAGAGGCCTCCCTGGAGGAGGCGGGTGGGCTGCAGCATCAGGGAGGCCTCTGCATTACCGGTGCCCAGCTCAGCTTCCAGGAGGCAGCGCTGGAATGCTCTGCTGTCAAGGGGTGGGGCTTGTGAGTCACTGGGCTGCATGCCGTTGGGGACTGAGTTGACCCTAGACTCTGCCCCTCCCAGTGCTGCTGGGTCTTCTGCCCTGTCTGTCTGTCCTGACTCCAGAGTATCAGATTCTCCCTGCTTCCCCGTGGAGCCCGTGGGCAGGAGTGACTGTGCCTGTTTTGCAGGTAGGGGTACTGAGACCTGGAGGGCTGGCATGCAGCACAGCCAGATTGGTTCCTGGAATTCACTCAGTTACCAGCGACAGGCCTGAGGTTGGGTGCTGGCAGCCCAGGCAGAGGGAACAGCCAGAGCAAAGGCACGGAGGTGGGACCCAGAGGCTTGTGGCTACAGGGGGAGAAGGGCTTAGATCCGCCCTCCGCGCCCCGTAGCCAGCCTGACATCCAGGAGTGACGCCTTCTCTGCTCTCTTTTCTCAGGTTCCCAACGAGGCGACACGGACAGCCCCCTGGACTGAGGCAATGGAGGGGGGCCCAGCTGTCTGCTGCCAGGACCCTCGAGCAGAGCTGGTAGAACGGGTGGCAGCCATCGACGTGGCCCACTTGGAAGAGGCGGATGGTGACCCAGAGCCTGCCAGGAACGGTGTGGACCCTCCGCCACGGGCCAGAGCTGCTTCTGTGATCCCTGGCAGTGCTTCAAGACCGCCCCCAGCCCGGCCCAGCCTCTCAGCTAGGAAGTTCTCCCTGCAGGAGCGGCCAGCAGGAAGCTGCCTGGAGGCCCGGGCTGGGCCTTATGCCACGGGGCCTACCAGCCACATCTCCCCACGGGCCTGGCGGAGGCCCACCATAGAGTCACACCGCGTGGCCATCTCGGACGCAGAGGTTGGTGGGGCAGAGCTAAGGGGTTGCTTATGAGCCCTTCGGTAGGCCTCAGTGAAGACTCTTTTCTGACCCCATCTGTGCCACACAGCCATCTAGCTTTGGTTTGTATGCCCTCAGAGCTGGGGAGCTCACCACCTAACAGTATGGCCTCTTCTATGTGCATGAGCCGGCTGGTGGTGGGAGGCCCGAGATGGGATGCAGGAGGAGGGAGCAGAGCTGTTTGTGCTCCCCATTCCTGAGCTAGTCCTGGGAAGGGTTGCCCTGTCCAGGCGGGGCTGACCAGCGCCTATCTGGCAGGGTGCCTACGGCGTGGTGAGGCTGGCTACAACGAAAGCGAAGATAGACACTATGTGAGTCTGGGATACGGGGAGGTGTTCCATACCAGGCCCTAGAAGCCTGGGGTGGGGCAGAAGTTGTGCTGGGGAATAAGGAGACAGGGCTCTCTCTGAAGAGAGTGAGCTCCCGTCCTTAGGGTGTGCAAATGGAATGAGCTTCCTGACCCTGGGGATATGCAAGCAGGAGGCTGGATTCCTCTGCAAGGAGTGCTCTGGAAAGGCTGTTGGGGAATAGGGTAAAGGCTAGACTCAGATACGGCCACTCCAACCCAGCTTAGCCTGGGCCACACCCTCGGTTTGTGGCAGACGTCCAGTGTGCCTTTCTGGACCTCAGTTTACAGTAACCAGCCTGTGCTAGCCCTGGTGCTCACAGGAGTGATATTTCTGCTTGTCCCTCCTTAGGCAATGAAAGTTCTTTCCAAAAAGAAGTTACTGAAGCAGTATGGCTTCCACGTATGTATTTCTCTGGTCCTGTCCTTGGGAGCTCCTAGCCTGGGGGGTCAGAGGAGGAGAGGACCTCAGTTCCAGCTAGTTTGGGTTAGGGATGGGGTGGGAGACAGTGTAATGAAGCCTGGGATGGAATGTGCTTGGTGGGCTGGGACAGAATTCTCGCTTGAGGCTGGCTGCAGGTGCACAGTGAGGCCCAGCCACCTGGATCCGGGGCTTGACTCTCCTTGCTGGTTACAGGCCGCCCTCCCCGAGAGGTCTCAGGCTGCCAGGAGGACCAGCCAAGCAGCTGCTGCCCCTGGAGCGGTGTACCAGGAGATCGCCATCCTGAAGAAGCTGGACCACGTGAATGTGGTCAACTGATCGGAGGTAGGAGGTGGTGGTGAAGCAGGGGGAACCAGCCTGAGTCCCGTTGTGCGGGGCGCAGACGTGGCTGGGTGGAGGCCTCTGGAAACAGGACCAGACTTGGTGGGGCTGCGGGAGACCTCGAGGGTCAGTTCAGGTGGTCAGGGATGTTCTTAAGTTCTCACTGAGGGGAAGGGCTGCCCCAGAGGTAAGAAGTGAGCCCCTCATCACAGCAAGAAGGAAGAAGGTCTGGATGCCATGTGATGGGCCAGAATTGGGGGTCAGTGATTTCTGAGGGCCCATCTGTCTGACCCCTGTGCAGTTCCTGCTTCACTGTCCGGGTGGGTGCAGAGCATACTAGAGTCCTGTAGTTGACAAGGACAAGGAGTCTGGGCCACCCCGCCCCACACACACATGCCTCTTAAGCCCCACCCCATGTCTGATCCCTCTAACCAGGTCCTGGGACGACCAGCTGAGGACAATCTCTATTTGGGTGAGTGACCCAGCTCATTCCTGTAGCAGCCACCTAGGGCTGGTCCAAGGGCTCCTGGGGACACGCATGACTCAGGTGGGCCATGTGAATGGCACTGACTCCTGGGCAGAGGCAAAACCCTATGCTCAACCCTGGATTCCTCGCCCAGCCTTTGCCAAACCAGGCCCAGATATCCAGTTAGATTCAACAAATATTCCCCAAGCCCCCCACTCCCTGCTCACCCACTGATCAGAAAAGATTGTGAATCAGCCTGGGCTCTGCACTCACGCAGATGCAGGAAGCAGGCTGTCGGTTCCTAGACCCTGTCTGTGCCTCAGTTTCCTCACTATAAGAGCAGAGATAATGGTATTTGTCGCATAGCTGGACGTGGCAAGTAAATGAGTTATCATATGCCAAAACACATTAGTTATTATCCTTGTTAACATTAATATTTATTTAAGTTCCTTGTGCCTGGTTAGGTTGGTTTAGCAAGTCTGAGAAAGTGGGCAGAAGGAGAACTAGCTTAGGAATAGAGCCAAGCTTTAGTCTCTACTCCCTGCCCTACTTGCCTATCTGCTATGACCTTCAGGAAAATTTCTTGCCTCCTCTCTGAGCCTCAGTTTCCACCCCATGAAAGGGGTCTATGCTGATGCTGATGGTCCTCACCAGCACCTGGGAGCAGATGAGGCAGGTCCATAGCAGACCCCACTTTCATCCATGTA